CAGTTTACATTCCTCCTCAGGAGAAATTAAACTCACAAGTTGGCTCCAACATCATTGGATACTTAAGAAAGAGGTGAGAAGAAAGAATGAAAGTCATTCATAGTGCCTTCCTCAGGAAAGTACCATAAACTCCCTTCAAACTTCAGGATCTCGAACCTCACAAATAGGGAACAAGCTTCTAGACTAGGTCTTCAATCCAATGCATCCTTGCAAGCTCCAACAGGACTTCAACCAGCTCCCATCTTTGAGAAGAACCCACAGGCCATCAAACCACAAGAGACTATCTCTGAAGTTCAACCATAGTTGAACTTCAAAGTCAGAAGTCGTCCAGACTTCTCCTATCCTCAAGCTCAGACTAAAACATATCAGAACATCCTACAAAAATCTATCAAAAATCTAGGGGGAAACCTACATGGCTCTATGACAACATGCTAAAAAAAATCAGAGCAAAGTTCACTACCAGATGCAAGAACTAAAATCAACAAAGCAGACATATCCACAAACCAAGTATTCAATATCAATAACAATGCAAAAATGCAATTAAAATGAAAATGCATGATTAATCTAATGTTTTTGTACTATAAAATTCTACATTGAATTATGAGTCTACAGAAAAAAGAACAGAATTATTCGGTCGAATCTACTATTTTTTATGAATTTTCTAATAACATGCATGCACTAAAAGATATTAAAAAAGTCAATTAAATGGAAAATGTGCCAAAAATAGTAAACAAAAATAAAATGGCATTTTTATTTTTATATGATTTTCTAGACATTTTCATGAAGTGGTAGAAAAAAGAAGAATAAAAAAATCAATTGTGTTCCATTTTATTATGAATTTTTCAATGTGCAAGAAAATATGAAAAAGAAATTAACAAAACAAAATTGGAATAAAAGAAAAAAGGGGGGGTGCTAACAGCATGATTTTCAGTTCACTCAAGATTTGGGCCAGAGATGGGGGGTGCGAAAAGCACTTAGGGCCTAAGCCCAATATGAGTCAGAAATTAGCTACAAAATAAAAAGAAAAAAAACGCCTGGGGGTGCAGCTAGTAAGCTTCTCACGTTAGTTCTCATTGGGCTTACGCCCCAGGGGGTGTGGATAGTAATTGCATGAGGCCCAAACCAATTCCATCTGCCTCTCACACAGGGGGAGGGGAATGAGTAACGCAGGGAGTGTTTCAGTAAAATGTGTTTGGGCCTAAACCCAAACCCTAACCCTAATCCAATTAACCCCAACAAAACCTACTTCTCCTAATCAACTCTCTGTTTACTGTTCACTACAACAAACCCTAACGCCACCGTCTTCAACCTCTCATCCTCTCTGAACTCTCTCAACCTCACGCACATAATCGAACCAAAATCTAAAACTTCTCACGCAACACACCTCACTCTCATACAAGATTCTTCCACACAAAATCTAAGCTTAAACTAAAGGCTATCTGAAATCCCAGCGAAACCCTACATTCAATAATCAACAACGAATCCAGAATGGAAGAACAATGTACCTGGCTTGAGGTGTGAACGACGCCGTGAATTCTTGAAGTTCGTTGAAGGACTTGAAGAAATCCTGGAGAATCTTGAAGAATCACTTGAAGATCGCTACGAGAAAGAGGAGGATCTTGAGGCTTATTGAAAACTTTGAAGACGTTCTGGAGATTTCTGGGCGAACCGTACGGCTTGGTGAAGAAGCTTGTTCTGGTTGATGAAGGTTCTGGGGAATCCGCGAAGTTCTTGATGATCGATGCTGAGAAATGATGATGTTCTGGGGAGAGATTGAAGAACGATGAAGTTCTGAGGCTTTTCTGGGAAACTCCTTGAAGAACGATGGAGGTTTGAAGGATTTCTGGGAAACTCCTTGAAGAACGATGGAGGTTTGAAGGATTTCTGGGAAACTCCTTGAAGTTTCCGGCGAGTATGAGTTTTCCGGCGAGGCGACGATGAAGGTGGAAGGAGGAAGGAGATGAAGAAGGAGTGTTTCTGGGAATTCTGGGTGGAAAACGAGCTCCGGCGAGCTGTTGCGGTGGCCGGAAGACGTTGGGGTGACCGGCGGTGGGAGGATCAGGGCGGATGCATGGCCGCCGGTGTGTTTTCTGGCGAAGCTCAGACGAGGGCTGAGGGCGTGACGAGTGGCGAAGGGGAGGTTTGCATGTGCAACGCGTGGCAAACATGCACAGAGAGAGAGAGAAAGTGGTGGCCAGCTGGGGGCGACGTGGCGTGAGCAGGAGAGAGTCTGAGTTGTGTTGGTGGGGGCCCCTGAGAGCAACGCGTGGCCTGCCTCTTATAGTGACAAGTGTCACACTCCTGGACAGAATGAACAAAAAACACTGATTGGACTTGATGGCGCTGGGCCTCCAAAAAACTGCTTTCTGGCCCATACGAAAATCTGGACAAAAAACCCTAAAAACTTAAAAAACTGATTAGTACAAATATTAAATCTAATTATCCTAATTAAGACTAATCCTAATTAATCTGATTAAACCTAAAAACAGAATTAACACCTAATTAAACTAATTACCCTAATTAAATCTAAAAATGATTAAAAATCTAATTAACTCTATATTAATAAACTTCTACTAATTTCTGAAAAAACCATTAAAGTTCTATTTAATTTCCATTAAAATTCTATAAAATGCCTATTAAAAATCTATACTATTATTTAATATCTACTTAAAAGGAAAACTATATTAAAACAATACCCTATTTATTTCTATTTATTAAAATCCCTATTAACATAAAAGAAAAATCTATATTTTCTATATTATCTAAAACAAAAAAAACAATTTAAAATCCAATATATTCTGAAAATGACTAAAAAAACTATTAACTCTATTTAAAAATCTATATAAAATTCTAAAAAATGATTTAAACTATTAAAAAAATACAAAAACCCTATTTAAATTCCAGAAAAATCTATAAAGCCTATTTAAAATCCACAAAAGTCTATTAAACCCTAAAAATGCAGACAAATACAAATGACCCCCATAAAAGAGTGCACGAGACTAGATCGAATCGAACAGAGAACCCCGGGCATCAGAATATCCCCAAAATCACTATGCAAGCTAAAAATCACCGAGGAGCGCACAATTTCCCGAAAATAAAACTCTGATGATCTAGACTGGATCTGCCATATCTGATAGACGAAAATCAAGTTGTAACCCTGATATCCTCTATTTGTGCACGAATATCATGCGTCTGATTTGCGAATATGAATTTAAACCACGAGTCAGATAGGAGAATCGGTTGGTCAAATTTTAGGGTGCAACAGCCAGCATAACTTTTCTCTTCATTCTATTAATTAATATTTTATTATTAATAATTAAATATTATTATTATTAATTAAATAATAATAAAATTAAAATATTTAACATGTTTATTTCTCAAATTTCTATACACTCAACCCTCTCTATTTATATCATACAAACAATTAACTTCAGTCCACTCATAACATCGGTCTAACCCCACAATAATAGGACATATAGTAATATTAAATTTTAAAAAAAAGTAAATAAATTAGACATATAATGCAAATCTTAAAATTACTTAATACAAAAATAAATTAATAAATATAAAGTTAAAACCAAAAATAAAGGCAAGATTAAACTAATCATAATGCAAATCTTTTATTTTATTTTTGGTTTTATATTTTTCTTACTATTTCTTTGATTACTCTTATTTTTTCTTAACTTTGTCTTTTTTCTTAATTTATAAAAATTTTGTTATTACTAAAACTCTTTAAAATTACTAAAAAACTTAAAATTGCTCTTGAAGTTTTTTTAAAAAAAAAGATAAAGTTATGAAAAAATACGAGTATTTTTAATTTTATACTCACACAATATTAATTTTGTTTATTTGGTGGTTAAAAAAAAGACAAAGCTAAGAAAAAATAAGAGTATTTTTAAAAATAAGAGTATTTTGTTTGTTTGTTTGGTTTTCTATTTTTAAAAAAACTTCAAGAACATTTTTAAGTTTTTTTAGTAATTTTAAAAAGTTTTAGTGATAACAAAGTTTTTCTGAATTAAGAAAAAAGACAAAGTTAAGAAAAAATAAAAGTAATCAAAGAAATAGTAAGAAAAATAGAAAACCAAAATTAAAATAAAGATTTGCATTATGATTAGTTTAATCTTTGCCTTTATTTTTGGTTTTAACTTTATATTTATTAATTTATTTTTGTATTAAGTAATTTTAAGATTTACATTATATGCCTAATTTATTTATTTTTTTAATTTAATATTACTATATGTCCTATTATTGTGGAGTTAGAGAGATGTTATGAGTGGACTGATGTTAATTGTTTGTATGATATAAATATAGAGGGATGAGTGGAGAGAAATTTGACAAATAAACATGTTAAATATTTTAATTTAATTATTACTTAATTAATAATAATATTTAATTATTAATAATAAAAGATTAATGAATAGAATGAAGTGAAAAGTTATGCTGGATAGTTATTATAGTAAATATATTATTGGTAGGTGACTGCATTTAAAAAAAAATTCAGGACGTGTTATATTGCATTTGTTAATTAATAATTATTTAAAATATAAGAATGTGACTTAGTCAAAAGTTTTAAATGATAGAGTTAATAATAAATATATTTATATTTAATTACTTAATTAAATAAATTAAATTTAGCGAAAATTTTTTGATGCAAACATTATAAGATTATATAATAGACATAAATAATACTTACCATGTTTGTTGAGAATATTAATAAAATAATTTTTAAAGATATATTTATTTATTAAATTTTGGATCAAATAATTAATCAAAAAAATTTTATAATTATTTATATGAGGATATTTTGGTAAAAAAATATATAATATATGAATAGGGGAATAAATGATGGGCTATAAAAATCTTCCAAAATTCTTTGGGCCCATAAAAAATATCTTAGTTGACCCATTTAGTTTATTCCTATAAAAAGATGGTCTAACCTATTTTGTCTTATTCTCGTTAAAAACTCTAAATACAAACCCTAATTGTGTAGAGAGGCAACAATGACATCGGCGAAGCGATGCCACTACGAAGTTCTCGGCCTCTCTCGGGACTCCTCTCCGGAAGAAATCCGATCCGGTTATCGGAAGCTCGCCCTCCAACGCCACCCAGACAAGCTGGTCAAATCCGGCCTCTCTCAAGCTGAAGCAACCGCTCAATTTCAGGAGCTTCAGCACGCCTATGAAGTCCTCTCCGATCCAAAGGAACGCGCATGGTACGATTCTCATCGTTCCCAAATCCTCTTCTCCGATCCAAATTCCCACTCTAATTCCGTTGTCCCTGACCTCTTCTCGTATTTCTCAAACACCGTTTATTCTAGTTATTCCGATACCGGTAAGGGTTTTTACAAGGTTTATTCCGATGTATTTGATAAAATTCTGGCCAATGAGATCAATTTCGCTAGGAAGTTAGGTTTAGGAGTTGATTCTGTTCGACAGGCTCCACTTATGGGGAATTTAGATAGTCCTTATAAGCAGGTTACGGCTTTTTATGGTTACTGGTTGGGATTTTCGACGGTGATGGATTTTTGCTGGGCAGATGAGTATGATGCCATTGCCGGTCCAAATAGAAAGTCGAGGCGGGTGATGGAGGAAGAGAATAATAAGGTGAGGAGAAAAGCTAAGAGGGAGTATAATGATATTGTGAGGAGGTTGGCTGATTTTGTGAAGAAGAGAGATAAGAGAGTGATTGATATGAAGGTGAAGAAGAATTTGGAGATGGAGAAGAAGAAAGAGGAGGAGAAGGAGAGGAAGAGGAAGTTGGAGATGGAGAAAAAAGAGAGGGCCATGGCTTATGAGGAGCCTGATTGGGCTAAGGTTGATGAAGAAGTTGAGGATTTGTTTGAGGATGATGAGTTTGAGAAGAAGAAAGACGAGAAGGAGTTTTATTGTGTGTTGTGTGGGAAGAAGTTTAAGAGTGAGAAGCAGTGGAAAAACCATGAGCAGTCTAAGAAACATAAGGAGAAGGTTGCTGAGTTCAGGGATTCACTCGATGATGAAGAGGAGAGGATTCGAGATTGTCTTAATGTTGCAAGAGAGGAAAGTGCAAATGGGGTTGAACTGAATGATGATGGTGATGATGATGATGGCAATGATGAATTTTTTGATGCTTCACATGCAAAAGGGGGGGAAGAGGATGGTGTATCAGTTGATTTAGATGACAATAATGATGATGGGGATGATGAAAATGGTGTTCTTGAAACAATGGTGGCAGGGCACAAGGAAAGAGTTGATTTTGATGAGAACGATGATGAAGATGATGAGATTGATGTTCTTGAAGCAATGCTGGCTGGGCACAAGAGCAGAAAACCCGGTGCTTCAACACACAAGCCCACAGTTTCTGTAACTCCAACTCAAATTGAGAGTGAGAGTGAGAGTGAGAATGAGAATGATAGGGTTAGTGCTATGGAATATAACAACAGAAAGATCCCAAAAAAGAAACGTAGAGCCAAGAAAGAGAAGGGTGGGAAAAATGGGGACGAGTCTAATGTTCCTACCAATGGAAAATATGAGAAGAATGTACACACCAATGGAAATGATAATTCTAATGCACAAGAGTCCAGTTCCCAATATTTTGATGATAATGAGGATAATAGGAGTAACGAGAATGAGCAGTTGGGTAGAGATAAAAAGAAGAATTTAAATCAACCAATTGATAAGAAAGGAACTTCAAAGGACACAAAAACCAAAGCAAAAATTTCATCCAAAGGAAGAAAAGCAAAGGTATAATTTATTAATGTGCCTGATAATCTTAATATGTTTTGTTCCTTAATGCTGACATGACTACTGAGATATGTATTATACTGTTTTCGTTGTAGTGGTTTTCTTAACTTCAAAACCTGCATTTTGCTTTGCCTTCATTTTTTTGCTTTTTAAAATGTGGCTAGTTTAGATTATAAGATACTAGCATCCAAACGGGCACTTTTGCTTTTCTTAATGTGTATACGCTTCAAACGTATTTTATTTTATTGCGCTAACAGGTATAAATCTTTTATGATGTTTTTGATATAGACATTCTAAATCTTATTCAAAAACCAAAGCCTTCAAAATACAATTTATATTCAATATAAATTACCGTGCAGAAACTTTGATATAAAGAACAAAAATCTTATTCAATATAAATTAGCATTCTTTGATATAGACACTCAAAGTCTGTTCTTTTCTCTGTCATATTATTTATATTTATTTATATTGAATACGATGATCTTCTTTAAGAAGGCCAAACATATTATAAAGAACAAAAATCTTATTTAATATAAATTACCGTGTATGTATTCTTCTTAAAGATTTTATTGCGCTAACGTTAATTTTTGTAATCATCCTAATTTAATTTGAAATAGGATGCAGAAACAATAGGATAAATTTAATTTGAAATAGGATGCAGAAACAATAGGATAAAAGAGTAAAGAACAAAGACTTTGAGTGTTCCTTTTTGGCAAAATATTATACATTATTCATCATCAATTCTTATTAAAGATTTTTTATTTATTTAGTGCTTCTTGCCATACAAATAAATATAAGAAAAATAATAAAGTACACATAAATCTTAAATGAAGAAAAGAATAATTCATTTTTTTTATTGAAAAAGAGAAAACGAAACAAAAAAACAAAAGAATAATTCACAATTTTGACATTCAGATTTCCAATAGTTATATTATTCTGTTGTAGTAACACTGGTATATCTATGTTATATTCCATCTCTTACAATTTAACTGAAGTGATTTTTTGTATTTGTTTCTTAAATTAGAATACTTCAAAGAATCTTGGCCATTTTTGTGAGACTTGTGGAGAGGATTTTGAGTCAAGGTAGATTGCATCCTCTCTCTTATATTGAAATTTAAGCTATTCTCATCCTCTCTCTTATATTGAAATTTAAGCTATTCTCATCATTGTATCTCTTTCGTTGTCGCTGCCAGGATAAACGATTACATAACTTTGTTTTGTTTGGTTTGATTCTCAGGAATAAATTACATAGGCATCTGGGAGAATCTGGGCACGCAGCAATGAAAAGTCGATAAGGAAAATACAGTAATGATTAATCAGTTCAAATGTATCAAGTGGTTTTCCAGGTCTAGGATATGGGACAATTTCGATTTTTGGTCCATTCTTTAATTTTTATTAGTGTTTAGATCAATTGTAACCCAGCATATGGCAGAAAGCCAGAGTTCATAAGGGTATGGGTTATGGATACATGGTATACACTTATCTATGTCAGCAAAATTTTGATCAATCATTTCTAGAGTGAGCAGATGGAGATATGTTTCCTGTGACAATACTGAAATGATACACAAGATCGAAAGTTTATGAAGATGTGGATCCTACAAAAGAAAAAAAGGATTTTTATTTAACATTAAAATATTAAATTTAATACTAATTTTACAACTTTATATATAATGATTTAATTAGTCATGCAATAAATTTAAACTATCTCTGTTTTTTAATATAAATTTTTTATAAAGAGCTGTTTTGTCATTTTTAAGGTTATTATAAAATGTATTTAGTTCTATCTTAGATAAAATTATCCCTAATAAAAGATTTAGAAAAGAGAAATTAGAAAAAGTGTAAGATAAGAGAAATTAGAAAAAGTGTAAGATAAGAGAAATATATGCCATTAATAGTAGATTTATAATTTTGTGTTTATAAACGACATAATTAAATAAAGAGAATAATTACTATATTTTTCAGTGTAAAATTTTTTAAAAAATTTTACATTGTCAATCTGTTTGTATTATTTTATAGGTGGGTAGTATAAAAGTCAAATTTTTTTCTACGAAAAAATCTACATTTTCAATGTATTTTAATTAATTTCTTGAATAAAACATGGAGTAGTGTTGATATTGATTTACATTTTCAATGTATTTTAATTAATTTCTTGAATAAAACATGGAGTAGTGTTGATATTGACTTACATCAACCACTACCAAATATTGATCTAAAACCAAGGTTTTAAAATTCATATCGACTGGTTACTGGTTGCATAAGTGGATCACTCGTCACACTATGATTTTCAATAATTTGAAAATATAATTTTAGTTTTATGATTTTTTTTTTAAATTTTTGTTATTTATAGTATTATTATATTATTTTTTAAAACTTTAAAATTTTTATATTATTTTATTGGATGATTAAAATAAATAAGTTTAAAGAGAATTACAATTTTCCTTCTATTTGACCAAATTAAAAAGGTTACACGGTTTATTTTTATAATTTTTAATATTATTTAATTTTAATTAATAGCTAACATAATTATAAATATTAATAAAATCATATTTTAAAATTAGACCATCAAAATCTTAAAAAAATAAAAATAGGGGATTAAAATTATAATTAAATTAAAAAATAAACATAAATATATCAATAGAAACCTAGAGATTTATTGGTCTCACCAATAAATCAATCGGATTATAGATCAAATAAATGAACTGACCAATAGATCAATTTTAACTATAATTTTACCAGACCGCTCTATTTCCTGATTCACGGTATAACAAATCTTACCAGCCAGAACAAAGCATAAAGTATTAGTTTTTCAAAACTACCATTGATTTTACTATGTTAATATTTTACCTTTTGCAGTTTTTCCGCTAGTCCTCATGAGTTAATTTTTTCAAAAAAGCTTTTCCATTTGATAAAAATAAAATTGTTTTTGCAAATAAAAGATGCAGTGAAAATTTTCAAGAAAAATTGTTAGTCAAAAATAGAGTAATAAATTTCAAAAGGGTGTATTTGATTCCAGTGCACTATTTTTTCTTTTAATTTTACTCTTATAATTTCACAACAGTATTATATTCTTCATTTAAACTATCACTTTATCTTAACTCTTTCAAATTTTCATTAAAAAAAAGCAAATTTATCGTAATAAGAAAATTTTCATTAGAATATCTATTAGATTTTTATTTGTCAAAATTATTTATGCTGTATGCCAAATTTTAACCTGGTTATAAAATTTGAAACAGCTGTTTTTTTCAACAAAACTGGCAGACGTGGAAAAAAATGGATGCCATTGGTGATAAATGTAGCAGCAATTGAATCGTTCAGACAATTAACCTGTCTTCAATATTCTAGTTACCGACTAAATGCCAACATTTACAAAATATGTATGCATGTCCATTCAAGCATAAATGCGCACGCAATGCTTGCATCAGCACTAGCACCCACAGGTATATACAAAAGTACGTAAAATAATATGTAGACCGTTGAAGCACTACCATATGGCCTTGTTATCTATGCAAAATACGAAGCAGTGAACTGTTTAAGAAGAAATTTTATGCAAATCACAACAATTCAGCAGCAGCAGCATCTATGTAAGCAATGGCTTCCTCCTCAGAGAGCTGTTCTCCCTCTACCAACCCTTTTATTAAGGTATTGGCATAAGATTTATTAGGCGGGCACAATGGTAACTTCCCAGATTTGAAGCGCTCAATATCAAGACCCGAACACCTAGTACATGTAAATATAAGTATAAATACAAAACGTCGCCCAAGACCCAAGCATGAGAATTAGAAACTATAATTTGTTACTCACGTCATAGTAATTATAGGAATGTCCTGGTCCTTTCCTAAGTAGACAACATTGCCATACCAAATATCCTGCACGACATTATTAGAAAGAAGTCATTACCATGATGGAAGATGCACACACTTAATTAAGTAAACAGCGAAGTAAAATGTAAGCAATAATCACTCAGAAAATGAGTAGGGACAATGAATATACCTTGACAACCTCCTGACAACTGAATTCCTTATTAGATATAGAATTCAGAGTAGTCATATCAAATAAAGGAGAACCCGCATCAAGGCTTAAACCATTTTCCAGAAATAAAACATCATTGAACTGCTCTAACCTGTAATAAGTGAGGATCCCAACAATGTCAAGCTCTTTGAAAGAGGAAGGTTCTAGGCAAATAAAAGCAGATTTGAAAGGCCAGACAGATTTGCTTACGAAATTTTGTACAGGCACATGTAGGTCTTGTGCTGAGAGTTTGTCTGAGGATTAAGAAAAGCAACACCTCCAGGACCCCATGAACGTGAGGAATCACGTCCAAAAAATATACGGCAGGGGAAAGTCTTCCAAAGGATCTCATTCGGAAGAGTTTTGTTTACTGAACCAGAGCAGGGCTTCTGCATACCTTCCACCTGCATATCATTTTTTAAATCTTCATAAAAATATGACAGCAGAATAAACAAATCTGTAGAAAAAGAAAGCATGGAAACAAGAAATGAAAGGTGAGTTGCAAATTCATTATAACTTGAGCATCTAATAAATAATGGTCACCCTAAAGCCTGAAACCACAAGATCTAATCCTGTCAGATACAAGGGGCTCACTCTTTATATTATTAATCGCCTACAGCAAATTACAATATCATTTTCCTAAACAAGCAGCAATTTGATAACAATTATGAAAATATGGCAAAGGCTAACAAATATCAATAGTTTTCAAACTGGACTGCGGTATAATAATAAATAATTAAAATACTGATGGAATGGTTGAAATGAAGGAAATATAATCACTTGTTTCATAACTGTATTATCATTAAAATATGTAATACAAGACAAGAAAACAACTTGATACCAATAATGCATTACCTGTCCACCTGCTATGTAGCAATCAAATCTTGGCCTCCACATATTTGAGCCAAATGAAGCATACCATATGTAAACATTTGACAACTCGGATCGCCAGGAGTAAGAAGCATCTGACTCTTTATCTGCATAGAGTTTGATAAAACAGAAGTATGATATAATATGATAAAGAAAAGTATTTTATTAATGAATGTGAAAGTAAAATAAATTCCAGAGCTACTGCTCCTCAGTCAGAGAAACAATTCTCTCACTGTCCAAACCCTAATATCAAAAACAGAAAATCAATCAATGCCTAACTACTGCCCCATACACTCCTCTTTATATGGAGAATAATCCCTAAACTAACTCCTATTTATATGGAGAATAATACCTAAACTAACTCCTATTTATTTGTGGAGTTTCCTATTCTTTCTCACATATCCCCTCCATTGTTTAGGTCCAATAATATCTCTATTAACTAACACATTCCCATCATCATTTGTGGGATCCGATTCATTCCTATCATCACCCCCACCTACAACATTAGCCTTGTCCTCAAGGCGCAGATCAGGGAATTGACTCTTCAGCAACAGTTCCTCTTCCCAGGTAGCATCTCCAACCTCCATCCCTGACCATTGTAACACACTGCTGACCTTGGCAGGATCAACAGCAACCCCTGCTTTGGAAATGACATGGCCCAAATATTCCACTTGGTGCTGACCGAAAGTGCATTTCTTCCGATTTGCCACAAACTGATGCTGCTGCAGAATATTAAGAACCACCTCTAAGTGCTGTAAGTGTTCAGCCCAACTACTACTGTATACTAGGATATCATCAAAAAAAACCAGGACAAACTTCATTAGAAAGGGCTTGAAAATTGCATTCATCACAGATTGAAAAGTTGCAGGAGCATTGGTGAGGCCAAACGGCATTACCAAAAACTCATAGTGACCCTCATGAGTCCGAAAAGCAGTTTTATGAATATCCTCTTCCTTCATACGAATTTGATGATAACCGGATTTAAGATCAAGCTTAGAGAAATAACTACAGCCATGTAACTCATCTAACAATTCATCTACAACCAGAATAGGATACTTGTCCTGAATTGTTACCTTGTCGAGTGCACGGTAATCTACACACATACGCCAAGATTGATCCTTCTTCTTGACCACAATGACAGGACTAGAGAAAGCACTGGTGCTATTTCTAACCACCCCTTGTTGCAATAGGCTCTGAATCTGTTTTTCAATTTCATCCTTGTGTAAATGAGGATATCTGTAAAGTCACACACTTACCGGACCCGCACCCTGTAAAAGTTCAATTAAATGACTAGTGTTTCTTGACGGAGGAAGACCTTGGATTTCTTTAAACACAATAACAAAATGCTCCAACAATCCTTCCAACTCCTTAGTCCGTTGATCAGAGACACACGACACCGGGGACCCTAACACCTCCATCAAGGTAGGCCATTCACAGCCTGCTATCATTCGAGAAGGAGTGATAATGCTTTGGAAAGTAGCCATCTTATTATCTACAGCCTGACCAAGTAGTTTCACCATACTGCCTTTATGGTTGAACTCCATAGACATTTCTTTCCAATCCGTGGTCACCTTCCCCAACGTTTCTAGCCACACAACTCCTAAAATCAAATCCACACCTCCTAACTCCAACACATAAGCATCAAAGCAAATCTGCACTGATCCCACTTTCATCTGAATTCCATTGCATCTACCCCTAGTTAGGACACAACGATCATCTCCTAACTTAACACCAAAGGGATTAGGTGATATGAAATTATGTGTGGCTCCACTGTCAATAAGTACCAGAATTAAGGCACCTTGTAACCATCCCTCCAATTTCATCCTCCGGACCTGATTTGGATTAGTGGATACATCAAACATCCCCATGGTTTTACATTCTAATTCCTCTTGTGTGAGTTCTTCTTCCATCGCAGCCTCCAACACCACAATCTCTCCTGCATCGTTAACAATTTCGTCATCCCCTAAGATAATCAATCGTAACTGTCTTATTGCACATTGGTGGAGAGGATCTCATCGTTCGTTGCAACGAAAACAGAGTCCTTTCGCACGACGCTCATTAACCTCTGCACTTGGTAGATGGCGAACACCACGAGATTGACGGCGTGAATTGTCACCTAAATTTGGGCGAGAAGATGCTGTAGAATTGGTAGGACGTGTTGAGACGGTTTGAGATCCAGAATCCGAACCGGTCCGCATTTGGCCCAAAGAATTATTAGGCTGGGTCTGAGTTGCAGATCCGTTCCCTTCCCCTTCGCGAAAAGCCCAATTAGGCTTTTGAGATTTTGTCCAAGAACCATGACCTAGTTTGTAACGTGCTCCAGAATCCTGTCCAGAAGCCACTGCAAATTCACTTTCAACATCACGAGCCAATTGCATTGCTAGGTAACGGTTGCGAGGCTTGAAGGTACGCACACGAGAACGAATATCATGACGTAAACCACCAATGAAATAACCTAGAAACTCTTGTTCTGGCAAACGACCACACTGTGAAGAATACAGTTCGAATTCAGCAATATATTCCTCTACTGATCCCGATTGTTTTAGTTCCTTTAATTCCTCAAACGGATTCTCCAAACGCCCACCTCCAAATCGAACCATCATCGCCTCACGGAGGTTCTCCCATGACACTTCCTCTGTTGAATCATGCCATAGGTTAAACCAATGGATAGTAGGGCCTTCCATACTCAATTTGGTCAACTGAATACGAACATCCTGCGAAATTCGTTATACCTCAAAGTATGTCTCTGCCCGAGTGATCCATGCAACCGGATCGTCACCGGTAAATGCCGGCAACTCCACCTTCTTCGCAGATAAACGAAACTCATCCAGCGGTGAGGAAACTGTCGCACTGCTTGGCTGCAGCACTTCACGATGAGCCATTGCACGTTGAATCTCAGCACATCGTAACACAGCAATGCTAGCCTCAACACCTTCCAACCTTTCTTCCACTGCAGAAACACGGTCAGCCATCTTAGGAGCTTTGGGCATGAACAATGGTAGGTCGGTGTTAGCTCCCAAATTCGACACTGCCTTAGGTTGTTAAACATTAAGACATAATTAATGTCTAAGTAAAATGAAGCAAAGAGGTTTCGATAGCCTCTAAGGAATCTTCTAAGCTAAACGGTTGAAATAACTTAGAAAAATTAAGAAACCTAAAGTTATGAGCATTTCGACCGTGTCAGAGGTCGTTCGACCGAAATTCTGCAGGAGGATTGCTACGTCGTTTTGAAATTCAAAATTTGGAGGGAGCGGTTCTGTTCATAAGACACGTGGCGAGTTCTAGAGTAGGAAGTTACATGCAATTGACACTTGTTAGATCGAGAAGATACTAGGAAGTTATTAGCAGTTAATTATTAGCGTTATAAATAGGGATTTGTTAGACAGATTACTGTGTGTTTTACCATTTGTACAAAGTAACTCCAATCAAATTTACTCAAAGTACCCGAGTGTGAGAAAAGAGTATTTTCACGGAGAATGTACGTTATGTAAAATCACCGACTTTTCAATAAAGTCTTTTACAATTTCAGCAACATTTACATTTCCTCTGTCGAACCACTTGTGCAAGTGTTACCTTTTTTTGCCTTTACCTTTCCTGCATCCTTTACTCCAATTCCTCTTTTCCTTTAAACTTTTTACCTTCTTCGATCAGCCTTTTACAAATCTTTTACAGCGTTTCTTTAAGTTTATGCACTTTAAAATACCCAGTCGAAGTCTTTTTCATTACAAGCACATTTACCAATTCGTTATTACAAGTACTTTAAATTTAATTCTAAACGAAAAATACTTTAGCACATGTCCTAGGATCAATCTGATCGATCCTGTGAGTCACCAAAGTCAAATTTGAAAGATCAGCGGTTATTTTCCGATTTTCAAAGTTTGGATATATGGATGAAGAGGCTTTCGAAGTCTTTATCATCGGAGAATTGTTGGACAATGACTGGAGAAAGCCTTTAGTCGAATATCTCCAGAATCCGTCAATAGCCTCAGATCGAAAGATAAAATATCAAGCACTGAGCTACGTCTTGATGGGCAACAAATTGTTCAAAAAGACCCCTGAAGGAGTTTTGCTGAAATGCCTGAGTGAATCAGAGGCATACTTGGCTTTGTCAACAGTCCACAGTGGGGCATGTGGTGCACACCAAGTTGGCCATAAAATGAAATGGTTGTTATTTCGACAAGGTTTGTACTGGCCTACGATGCTAAAGGATTGCATCGAGTTCGCCAAGGGGTGCCAGGAGTGTCAAGTTCATGCGGGCATACAACATGTCCCAGCAAGCGAATTACATTCCATAATTAAACCATGGTCGTTTAGAGGTTGGACTTTGGACCTGATTGGAGAAATTTGACCAGCATCCTCAAAAAACCAAAAGTATATCTTAGTGGGGATAGATTACTTTACCAAGTGGGTCGAAGCAGTGCCTTTACCTAAAGTGGATCAGGAAGATGTGATTGAATTCATTCAGAAAAATATCATCTTTAGGTTTAGATTGCCAGAGACAATAACGGATCAAGGGTCGATCTTCACGGGTAGAAAGATGCAGGATTTCGCCAGAGAGATGGGGTTCAAACTCTTAACTTCGACCCCTTATTACGCGCAAGCTAACAGGCAAGTCGAGGCAGCAAATAAAGTGGTCATTGGCATGATAAAGAAGCAAGTAGGAACCAAGCCAAAGAATTGGCACAAAGTGTTGGATCAGGTTCTATGGGCATGTCGAACGTCACCCAAAGAGGCAACCAACACCACCCCATATCGTTTGACCTTTGGTCACTATGCAGTGTTGCCAGTCGAAATCCACATACAGTCGATTAGGGTTCAAAGGCAACACGAAATTCCTAGAGAAGTCTATTGGGATATGATGCTCGATGAGGTCATAGACTTAGACGAAGAAAGATTGAAAGCTCTAGAATTGCTGAGAAGGCAGAAAAAGAGAGTGGAAAAGTCATACAATAAGAAGGTTAAAGCAAGAACCTTTTTAGTTGGAGACTTAGTTTGGAGAGTCATTCTGCCTATGGATCGAAAGGCCAAGACGCTGGGTAAATGGTCCCCAAAGTAAGAGGGACCCTTCCAAGTGTCGAGGGTTTTCTTTAATGGAGCCTATGAAGTG